AGGATTTCCTGCCTAAGCAGGGGGTTGGACTAGAAGACCTCCAAGATCCCTTTCAACTCTGTTATTCTGTTATCTGTATCCTAGCCTTTCCTGAATTAACAGTTCACATTAGTCATACCACTCAGTTCTAACAGCTTTCACCAATCATTTTTACTTCTACTCACATCAAAACTTTCACTAATTCACTAATTCCTCTTGTACAATTACTACTTCTTTGACACCATTTTTTTTTTTAAATGGTGTGGGGTAGAAAAGGGAAATCAATTGATTTCTTAAGAATGAATGTAACTTGAATCCATTTCAGTAAGCCAGTCAGAATTCTAATTCTAGGATAATAATTCAAATCTGTGAAAATAATAAAATAAAATATACTTTGATAGGACTTCTAATGACTATACAGCTGTCAAAAGATACACTTTTATGTGCAGCTTTCAATAGGGATTTCTACAGGATATATTTGTCAGAACAATATTACATTTAAAAAACCTTACCAAAACTGCTAACATTATCTTGGAAAGTAGAAATTCAGCCAAATCTGGCCTCAGTTACAACTCAACTATAGGTATTGTTGCAATTTAATAGGTATCCATTAAATAAATACTTGAATGGCTCTCAGAAACCACCACCACCCCACCACCACCACTTTTACATCCTTCCTTCTAAGGTGTTTGTAGATATGCGTAAGATCATATGATCCTCAGGCAGCACGTAAAATAATCAAATACTAAAATAAAACCTAGATCTTATAAAATCACAACTTTTTCTGAGTGGGAGTTAGAAAACTTTGCTTATCAACATTAACCCTTGCTCAGTCTCAAGATCCTACTCTACCTTCAGCCAATCAAGTTCTAATTAAGATTAAATCTATTTTTTTCAGGAACTTAGTGTCTTCATTTCAGTACCAGTCTTTTCAATGCTGATCTTTAAATCCAGAAAATATATCACATAACAGTAATAACAGCTTTTCTCTAGCCTTGAAATATAAATTGCAATGGAGAACGGGGAATAAATCTAGGGCCCATGATCTTAGGTAATATTGTTTTTAATAACAATGCCTTTTAAAACTCAGTATTAAAAATCTCTTTTTTATTGAGTTTCCCCCATTAAAGGCATGGGCAAGATTCTTTATTCCTCCTGAAAAAAAGACAATCTTTCTGGCTGATCTAAGATGAAAGCAGTACTTCAGAGGAAGTACTTTTTTATTATTTGGTTATGGAGAAATCTTTTTTAAAAAAAAGTTTTCACAAAGGAAAGCTTTCAGTTGAAAGGTTGAGAACTGATTTATTATTGTCTACTTTTTTTGATGATGACTCCCCAGATGGCAGAGAACATGCAATTTATTAAAATCCCTTCTCATTCCACTCAAGTTCAGGTGTCAAAGACGTTTTATTGAAAATCCCTGTTGATTTTTACCTTCATGTTCCCAGTCTTATTTCCAATTACCTTTACCTCCTACAGCTGGCCACAGTTTTAGCATCTGATTCTCATTTTCAACCATAACAATATGCAGTGTTACCTATAACTGACATGTCATTTTATGAATCATCAATGCATACAACATCATAATTCCCAAATATCCATTTAATGTGCTTGGTGTCCAGTTAGATGCTATGCTGTTAACCTTTTCAGGGGGGGAAACAGTAATATTAAGTTAAAATTGCTTCCTGAATGTTAGTTGTATTGCTTAACATTAGTAGCAGGTCTCAGGTGGTTCTGCTCAAACAATACACCAAATATTTATAGTCTAAATTTTCCCAACCAATTCCCTTGGTTTATCTAAAAGAATGGGCAATTGCTTCTGGCCAAATGTGGCTGTTCTGACCCAGCAGAAGCAAGAAACAGACGCCTTGTCACAAAAAAGCCCTCTTTATTTACCTCTTGTGAATTAATGGCATTCATCCACCGAAAAGTCCAAGCAAGACTCCTGCAAGGAGTTAAATGCAGCAACAGACCTTATCAGTTCCTTGCAATAATTACAAGGCCGTGAGCTCCCGGTCAAAAGGCTGCAAATTAAGTTCTGGCAAGCAGTCTTTGATGCACGAAACACAATAAGCAAAATCTTCAGAAACACGAACTGTTGTCTCCTACGACAACCACTCCCCTTTCCTTCTATTTATTCTCCAGCCAGGGAGGGGCCATTCAACATCCACGTTTGCTTTGCTTCCCAAGTCAACTCCTTGTCCTTCATTGTTCACCTCTCCTAACTGCTCTGCACACACGTCCATCTGGAACAGGCCCCAGCTGTTCTTCCTCCTCACTTATCTCAGCCTCCAAAGGCAGCTGCCTCTCCGGTGGCTGGGAAATGTTGGGCGGTCCTGGCTCTGTCTCTCTGTGTCCGACACAGAGCATCCATCACCAGACTCCAGAAGTAGCCCAAGTTCCTCCCCAACCTCCTCATCGTCTGAGTCTGCTGCCAGCGGGCCACAGTAGTGGCAATATCCCTGTATTCCATAGACAAGGATTGCCTAACCATCCAAACCACTACCATTTTAATTAGATTTTATTTATTTAGGTTATTTGGATACCATTTATTGCTTTCCCAACGAAAACTCACTAATGGCTTACATTATCAACTCCTGAGGTAAATGCTAGATGAACTTGTGATTCCAAAGTTTTTTTAAGCAAATTATTCTCATGTTTATAAACGTGACCAATGTGTATTACATACAGATATTTTGAGGCTAATTAATTATTTATACATCATCACAGGTTCTTATTAAGTTTATTAAAGAGACCCATAGTTTTTATCTGATTACTCCTTCTATCAGTTACTTTTAAACTAGCCAAATATCAATAGTCCAAGCAGAATTATTTGATGTTAACTGAGTGCTTCTTTTAAAATCCTATATTGTTAGAATATACATTGAAAATATATGTAAACTTATATGTAAATGCAGAATGTACATTAAGACTGAAGATTAATTTGGAAATGGAATGGGGAAGATTTAGGAATGAATACACATAAAAGGAGCATATCCTGCAAATAAACAAACTGAACAATTTTTAGCAAAACAAAGCCCTGATGGAAAGGATTAGGGGAGCTGTGTGGTAGGACATCTGGCTATACAATGTTGTTTATATATGAGCATTACTTCCCTAAGAACAATACTGACTGCAAGTTCAAAACTGAAATCAACAGAAAAGAAAAGTAAATGAACTGCTGAGGTAAAATATTGCCTTGCTTTTATACAACAGAAATAAAGGAAATTGATAAACTAAAAGAGCAAAATTAACCAGCAGAGCTGTAATTTCAGGCTTTCTTAAAATAATTGTAAATGCAAGCCTATTCAGATATTGAGCTATTTTGTTGTCCAAACTGATGCAAAGAAGACATTAAGAGATAGAACTGTGATATTAATTAATAGAAGCAGAAGTCCAGACAGTTTTGTGGAGATATGAATATTCCCATTTGTATCATTATGAAGATTTAGCCTAATCACTGACCCTAGGCTTCAAGAGTCAACCATTTAAATTTAAGCCACCTGTAATTTGGAAATGGAGACTAAGTCAGCAATTCCGCAATTACAAACAGAGCAACTTGTCTCATGATCAACATAATGTAGAATAAATTAATATTCCAAATATTGATCCCAACATTCAGGTCATGTGCAGCAGAATAATTGGGTAGGAGGTTGGATAGCACCTGAGGAGGCTCAGGTTCAAATACAAAGTCAGCTGTGGAAGCTTACTTTAGGTGAGTACCTATCAGAACAACAGAACTCATATTTCTTCATTCATATGCCCACCCCCACCCCCATAAGGCAGCATAGCAGGGCTTATGGGGATCTTCAGTCAGTGGTAAGACATTATTTTCTAGATCTCCAGGAGATTCAGAATAATTGTCCAACAACATACTGGTTTTATGGGTCCAAATTTTTGCATTGAAAGGGGATACAAACCATTTTCTCCATTATATTAGTAGGGAAACTTAAAATTTCATGGACAAAAATCAGCAATTTGCTGCCCAGTTTTGGTGATGCAATGTGGAAAATCTCATTTCACAATCAGCCCCTGGTCACAGATTGCTCACACCTGTCCAAAACTATTATGAAATGATGGGATGGTCGACCTTTTTGAAATGATGTCCAGTGCATTCCCAAACTGAAAGCAGTCTTGAGATTTTGGCTGTTAAATAGAGTCACATATCTTTCCCACCTCTCCTTCCATTCTCTTTTCATTCCTTTAACTGATTATTGTTAACTGTATTGTTCTAGAGATGTGGGTCTTGATTCTTTGACCTCTACATATGGCACTTATATACCAACCTTTCTCAGAGAAGTTAAAGCAGTTTATTTGAGGCTCTCCCCTAATTTTATGTCCAAGAACAACCTTGCAAAATTGAATGTGCTGAGAGAATGTAATTGTTCCATGGTCAGGCAGGATTGAAACAAAAATGCAACTGGTTTTTAATTAACTCTTTTCAAAGAAATTAGCCTTGGATAAGTACTGGCATCCTAAAACATCCCATACATCGAACCCACAGACATATACTATTATCTTCCATTCATTGAAATTTGAAGATACAAATTACACCTGCACTATTCTTTTTTCTTTTGTTATATAATTATGGAGGGTGTAGTAGTTCCCTGTATGCAGACATTATCAAGTCATTTGAGCATTGTACAAAATATGTCAAGGAGTTGTGGAGACCTTACTGGTAAAAGTTGTATGTTTTAATTCTTTTTCTCCCAAATATCAGATAGAAAACAGAGGTACTTCAAGTTTTTTTCCCCCAGATCCTATTTATGAAATGCATTTGCTCTTTTAAAAAGAGCTGTTTGGCTGATCAGGGTTGGTTTTTGTTTTGTTTTTTTGCTACCTTCACAATCACACTTTGGTGTTTTATTCAACTGTTCAGCCAGCCATTGCCAAATACAGGCAGATGTTGCAGCTCTTGACCTGAGCAGTTTGAGAGGTGGTGGAGGAAAGGGGCAGGCAGGGAAAGAATTAAGTCAGTTAGTCAAAGAAAAAGAAGGAATAAAAGGAACAAAAATACACACCAAGCCCTCACCATACACAATAGCTGGAAGGCGGGAGCGGAGTGGTGTTTTCCTCTGTCAATGGATCAATGTGTTCTGTAAGCATTTCCATCCTGTCAGGTCCCCAACTCGGTCTCCACCTGCTAGTTTGCCAACTCTAGAAGAACACTGTCCTGGCCCCTCCCTCACTTTGCTGGCGCCAGCGTCTTGATGGGCCTTGCACTTTGATTATTTGTGTTAACAGTTAATTTAGCACCAGGGACACGTGTGCCAAAGCTGCCTCCACTTCCTTCAGCCGCCAAACAAATGGGACTTTTATGAGATGCTTTTTAGGACTCACCCGCATCCTTTGCCTGGACTCCATCTCCTCCCCCCCCTCCCGCCTCCAGACTCAGCTGTAATCTTTTCTTCATCTTGCAGGAAAAGAGCTATTTCTGGCAGCTCTGTCTCTTAACACTCACTCCCGTCAAACTGATTTAATGGAGATTTATAGAGGCTGGGCTCTGGAGCTCTCTGAGGCCCTTTCCAAAACTGTTGCGCCTACATTATGTATGGAATGTATTTAATGTTTTATATAGAAGCTGTACTATAAACTATTAACAACACTATAATAGATTTACCTAATGGGGTGGGGTTTTTTGCACAAAATGCAAGCAAAAATGTGTTGTTTTTGGCCCCAGTCACAATCTAGATCATCCTAGCACAACTAGCCAAAGGTATTTTGCCGCCTAAAGAGTGGAAGGCAAGAAGACACTGTTTGACAATTTATCATACTTGTTCAAAACAGTTAACATACTCTATTGTACCTGAGAAGAGGTTGGTTGCTTTAGAGCAGTGTTTATGAATCTTGGCAATTCTAAAATGTGTGGCTTCAACTCCCATAATTCTCCAGCAAGCAATGCTGGCTAGGGAATTGAAATCCACACACTTTAGAGTTTCCAAGGTCAGAAACACTGATCTAGAGCATAGCTGGCTATCATGCATGATATTGCTGCACTCTTCGTGATTCTCCTGACACCCAAACCCTGCCATCTGTGTCTTCTAATGATAAGGAAAGCCAGTTTAGGTTCAAGCAAACCAATTTATGTGAGAAACCCAGTTTAGGTCCATTAAAGTTGAGCTGATATAGTTAAAATAATAGCTGAACAACATCTATGTGTATTGATGGTACTCAATAAGAACTTTAACAGATCAAAAGAACCAGCTTCAAGTCAGAGTAGGCATAGCATGAATTGCTCTGATGATTGGACAATATTTTATAAGTTACACTTTTCTTTTGGTGGATTTAAAGTAACAGTAAAGGTTGGTGGTTCACATGTAGCCTGCAGCCAGCATTGTTTCATGAGGATTCAAGATTCAATTCTCTTTCTATGCTTTGCATGCATTCTTCACATTATATTTCCACATTCTAATGTTCAATTTTCAGTTTTTTATGGTCTCATTATTTTCTTCACCCATAAAGAGAAACGAAAAGGCATACTGTGCAATAAAGTATAAGTGCTGGGACTGTTTCCCATACCTCCCTGCTCTTTCATGTTGGTTTACTATATTGCTTACTGAGTCTTGACAAAGTTAGATTGCTAATAATATGGCCCCTTCTGCACATCCAGGAGGTGCCAATGCAGGATCACCACTGCTCCCTGTATGTCCACAATGCCAGTGGTCTTGAGGATGTTTTCAGCAGCTGAGCTAATTAATGTCAAACAGAGGAAAGATGCTGAAGAAAGTTCTGCAGTATTTCCCCTTGAGCTATGAGACAGGCAGTTTCCCATTGGTGGAAATTCTCATCTCATTCAACCTTCCAATTTCTCAGCTTTTCAGAAGACAATGTACTGTTCTCCCATTCTGCTGAGTGGATCTGAAGAGCACTTGGGTTGTTTCAATGCTCTATAGTTTTTTTTTTCCCCCATATTGCAAAACTAATGGAATAAAGCAAGGACAGAGATAGGATATTGGCTAGTGCGCCAATTTTTGTACATCTCCATTGGGAAATGTACTGTCAACTTCCTGGTAGAAACAGTGTAGATGGTCATAGTATGCAGCTCTTAAGGTTTGTGAGGAGTAAAAAATTACAGCTGTGTAGAAATCTCTCTTTTTTTCTTGTCTAATACCTGAAACTGTCTTTCATCCTGTAGAGAACTCAGATTCCAAGTCAAGCATAAACACATTCTGGAAAGCCTCTCTGTCTAGAGCAGGGGTCTCCAACCTTGGCAACTTTAAGACTTGTGGACTTCAACTCCCAAAATTCCTCAGCCAGCTTTGCTTTGCTGGCTGAGGAATTCTGGGAGTTGAAGTCCACAAGTCTTAAAGTTGCCAAGGTTGGAGACGCCTGCTCTAGAGCAGCACTTGAATTGTTGCTATTGTTAGCCAACTGTTTAAAATTTCAACCCAAAATTTGTACAAAATCTCACCCTGTATTTATGAAAGTGGAAAACCAGTCAGGGTATCCAGGCAGGGTATGCAGAGCAAGAGATGCTAATGGAGTAGTTAGCAATATTCAGAAGACCACAGGTTTCTGTGACTTGTATTAAAACCTCTGTGGAAAAAAATTATGACTAACCACTGCAGTCTCCCCACATAATCAATATGAGGTAAAGGCTGATCCATAATAATTCAGGTGTTAAAATAACTTAATCTGACCTATCATAAACATCTATTGTATCAAATATCATTGTTCCGTGTTTGCAATCACAATCCCACAAAATACCATCCAGAGCACTCTACCAATACTTCAGAAGCCTATTCACATCGTGCAACAGTGATTAGAACAGTCCCCAATCACACAATAGCCATCCCAGAGATATTTATCCTGTAAGGGAAGGAAGAAAAAGAGCGTTTTCAGGGAACTATCAACACTGAGAGGTATTCAGATATAGTTCTGTCTATCTGTAGTCTTAAGCATACAGTCTTAAGAGAGAACTAATTCACAATATTAGGCATTTGAAGATCAGCTGTCAGTGATAAATTACCTGACAGATCCAGGGAAAATTTGCATGGGGCTTCTATCATAGGAAAAGAGCCTTGGTGGCACAGCAGACTAAAGCACTGTTAAGTAACACCAGCTGCCTGCAATTACTGCAAGTTCAAATCTCACCAGGCTCAAGGTTGACTCAGCCTTCCATCCTTTCGAGGTAGGTAAAATGAGGACTCAGTTTGTGGGGGCAATAAACTGACTTTGAATAAAAAATAACACTGCTTTGGGGGGCCGAAAGCCCTACTAAGCAGGTATATACAAAAGTATGAAGGCTATTGCTTAACGCATCGTAAGCCGTCCTGAGTCTCCGGAAAAGGGCGGCATATAAAACGAACCAATAAATAAATAAAATAAATAAAATAAAGGAATGTCAAGATCTGTGAGAAAGTGCCCCCAGTGCTCACAGGACAGAAGACACCAGGTCGAAAGAAACTTCAAAGATTTAAGGAAATGGTAGGCAGAAAGGCAATGCCTATTGTTCAGCTCTCTGCCTCCTCTCTTTTTCATTTCTAGTCACTGCTCCCCACCTTGGAACAACATTCCAAAGAAATAATCCACGTGGCTGAGGATAAAATGAAGCAAGGCATTAGAAACTGTAATTTAATCTAATATTTGAGGCTTGGCAAATGTACGAATGGGGTTTTAATGAAAAATCCTACATCTTTTTCATTTTTGAACAATTAACCAGAGTCCCAGTTCTGCTGGCTCCAGCAAGCCACTTAGCTCTCAGTTTTATTAGCCATTTGCTTTTCCCCTTTCTTTGCATGAGCTCTTGCAGCTAAAGCACAAAAGAACAAATCCCAGGCTACTAAGGTGCTGCAAAGGGGCCACCACAGACAAGTGCCAGGCAATGATTTGGAAATTAATGTGGAGCACGCATCAATGTGATATATTTGGATTCAAATGCTGTGGTGTGGAATCATTTATGTGTGGCATAATTAAAAACATCCAGCAGTCATTTCATGGAACCCACCAAGCACAGACATAAAGTCTAGCTTGTCTTCTCCCTGTGTCCCTCTTCTGCAGTTTTAACTCTTGGAGGAAGAGCAACAAGGAAACTTGAGTTACTCACTGCAGTTACAGAAAGTCTTTTGTTTGTATTCTACTTTATTTAAACAGAGTACAAAAGGCTCAGCCAGGGGCCGGGGGTGGGGGGAGAGATATAAATAGTAATCACATTTAACTGGCTCTAAATTTTCCCCTCCCCCCAGCAACAATGCTAGGAAATGAATTGTTGATTTGTACACGGTGCATTGTTGGAAATTACGTGGAAATACTAATTATCTTCTGGGGTTGGAGAAGGGAAGGGCTATTTCACCATACAAAGCATACAATTGACAATTCACAAAATTTGAATTTCGTACATGTCTCAAAAAAGAAGCATGTGCTTCTTGTTATATATCAGTATCGATTGATTGCTATGTTCATGTCTGTTCTAGAACTGAATTTAGACACCATAGACAGAAAATACGATAATATGATGATCCACATCTCAGAGTGAGCTGTGGCAAACTGTTAAAGTTAAATGCTTGTTTCCACAATATAACAAGACCTCCTTTACAAGTTTGTTGAGAAGATAATTAAAGCACAGGCTTTGAACATTAAACTTAGAAACATGCAGTAAACAGGATAAGTATGTTTTTTTCTCATTATACTGCTTCCCAAGTAAACCTGTTTATATCAAAAATCAAAGGGGCATTCAAATCAAATCTACAGTATTTCTATGTTTTGCAACTAATAGTGAATACTGTATTCCTACTGACTGTAAATGGAAAGTGTATTAACTGACTGCAGTACAAGTGTTTCACCTAACACAAAGCTGACTCTTAAAAGGGAAATACATTTTAAAATCGCATTATATATAATGAAAAAGGTCGGGGTAAAGGCCTTTTTGGTCTCTTATACCTGATTATTTTGTCAGTTCCTTTTATTGTATTGACTTTAGGCCCCCAACCGATTGACTTGTGTGCCCATTAGAAAGTGCCTTACTTCCTGGGGGTGGGGGAGTAAATTGTATTCTTTTCCCATCTGTTTCTAAGCTCAGAAAATAGTCTCTTGGGGTGAGGGTCACAATAAATAAGGCTTGGTTATATGCAAGCACTAAATTTTATTATGTAATTCAGAGTGCAATGAAAACATTGTAGTGCATAATTATGTGGCACATTGTACAGTTCCTTCATTCCTTATGACATTGTATTATCTGCTTAGGGCATGGGATTGCGACCTTCTCAGACAGCTAGTTT